TCCGGACTCCTTCCTGGTACCCCCGGGATCGCCGCCTGCATCGAGGGAGGAGTACTCCCCTTCGACCGCCTGATTACCGCGACTATATGCAAACGCGCCATCGGGCTGAATGAGATAACGTCAGGTACAGACGAGGAAGGTTCCCTCCTAAAGGAGGCCAACAAGTTCCTCAGGGAAATCTCCAACCGAGCTCTCCCCCCAGTGTGCAAGACACATTGGGTTGGAGCCAGAGGCTGGAACAAACCGCCAATTAAGACCGACCACACCATCAAACGGCACTTCAAGGCTGGTTCCAATCCCTTTGCGGTAAATCAGGCGGTATTGGATTTGCAGAGAAGGACGTACGCTGGATACGCCATCCGTTACTCGGACGGTTCCGTAGCCCAGAAAAGGGTGGGCATCGGCATCTCCGGTGACCACCTAAAGGAGTGTCATAGGCTCCCGGATGAGTGCTCTATTTTTTCCGCCGAGGCAGCCGCAGCTTTTATCGCAGTTACTACCCCGGATACACGGCCAATCGCACTTTTCACAGACTCTGCTAGTGTAGTCACTGCACTTGAATCCGCAACCAGCAGGCACCCCTGGATACAGGCCATCCAAGAGTACGCGCCACCCAACACGGTATTCATTTGGTTGCCTGGACATTGCGGTGTAAAAGGGAATGAGGAAGCTGATCATCTCGCCGGAACAGGCCGTCGTATGACCAAATATACCCGGAAGGTCCCCGGGCAGGATCTGAAGAAGTGGGTCACCAAGACCGTAGACCAATCCTGGAGCCGGGACTGGCTCGCCGGAAGTATACTGTTTATACGGAAGATAAAAGGGGACACCAGCAGATGGGAGGATCCACCCCTCCACCGTGAGCAGGTTGTTTTATCGCGACTCCGGTCCGGCCACACAAACGTCTCCCACAACTATAAGGGGGACGGACCCTTCCGGAGGATATGCGACCACTGCCACATCCCACAGACCGTCGAGCACTTCATCTGCATATGCCCGAAATACGATGGAACCAGGAGAAGCTACGACATTTCCGGCAGCATCCGGGATGTCCTCTCCGATGATCCCGTTCGGACTGCTACGCTGTTTATCTTCCTGAAGGAAACCGGACTCTTCAATATGATTTAAACTACTCGACCCACGCAACCCTCAATGACTAGCTCCAACTACCGGCATACACGATACGTTTCAACCCTGAACCCTGATGACAACTTACCGCAATCCAATTGGAAGTCCAACTGAATTAACGCAGATGTACCACGCCAGTTCTTATTCTAATATGTCCTTTATGTTTATACTGATTTGTGTTTTATGTTAATGGTGTTAATGGTTATACAAACACTGTAGCAGCTCTTACAAACCTTTTGGAACTCCCTTCTGGAGTTCCCAAGGCGAACCAGCCAATGGCTGAAAGCCTTGTAAATAAAGGAAAAAAAAAAAAAAAAAAAATAAATCACTTTCAATTGAACATTTGACATTGCTGTAAAAAAACACATGCTTATAAAATTCAATGCTACTATTACTATTATTGTAATTTTATGTAAAATTTATGTTTTTTTGCTGTATAGTTCAACCGGCGGAAACTAACGATTTTAAATTGGCTCAGTACTTGACTAGCCTATTGGTCCATTCTGGTCGAAATTCTACAATGTTTGTTTTGATTCGCTATGAAAGTTGAACCAAGTTTGGGACCAAAGATACCAGAGCTGAGCTAAAAAGTTGAGAACGTTTCTTCGGGACCTACTAGTCTTAGAGTTCCAAGTGTAAATTTACAATATTTTAGCTGTGTATTAATCATTTAAATTATGAAGGGAACTGTCAGTGACCTCACACTTCGCAATGGTCCGCAAGCAGTATGTAGCAACACACTTAAAAATACTTAATCTTACACGTGATGGAATCATTTCTCAGCCGCCTGTCTCTATTTGCAAGAGAGTTCGTGGGGCAATACCAGGTGAGATTCATGCGCTACCACGGACCAAATTTTCGCGATTCGGCAGGTTCTGCAGAAATGCCGAGAATACAACGATAATTTGTTCATCGATTTCAAATACGCATACGACACTGAGTAGGCTGTGCGTGTGATCGAACCTGACGTTTGTTTTTTCCGTGGAGTTTTTTTTTATCTATAATCGGTTGCTGATCTGGCTAAAACCAGGCCCAGGAGACAATTTTTAGTTACTCAGTGAATTCACTAAGACAGAAGAAGCCCTGCGAGAGCTGCATCTCATTGTATCTAGTTTTACGTCCCTGTTATTTCCCGCTGAGAAGCTGTTCCGAAGACAAGTAGAACCTCCATGAGGCGTTCCGTAATACATCCTATCATTAGTTACATCATTCGTTGAGTCGCAGCGTTGAACCTGACTATTGGCCACGAAAAGGCTTGCCAATGCACATCAAAAATCGATTACATACATCCGAACATTTGTTTATCTCGAATCGACGGAAGACATTCCGCACAACTACCATAAACCGGACTAGTTCATGTTAATCTTCGTCAAGCTTCGTCTACAGTTTGGACTTCTACATCAACACATGTCAAGCAGCCTTCAGGTTCAGGTTCAGGCTAAACTTGGTGAGTTCGTTCAATTTTGTAATTTTTTATCTTTTCCAACCAGTTGTCAAGCAGTAATCGATAAAAGAACAAGGTATCATTTTAGGCGTATTTCGACAACTCTTACACCAGTAACTGAGGGTAGCGGTGAATTTCTACAAAAAACATTACCAAACCATTGATTTCAAGGTTTAGAAGTTTTGGCCTAGATTTAGTATTCAGCAGCAGGACAAATCAGCTGAAGTCTCTGTTAGGATCAACAAAAGATTCAATAAATGTCTTAGGGAAAGCCGGAGTCTACAAAATCTCTTGTCCAGATTGCAATAAAATCTACATTGGTCAGACGAAAAGGACTTTGGAAACAAGGTTTAAGGAACACACCGCAGAGGTAAAAAAGGCTAGCAAAGAGATGGATAAAGGACTTCATTATGAATTTAAATCCAAGGTTGCAGAACATATATCGTTACAAAGGGGCACAATTTGACTAAGGATAACATTAATATCCTGCGGACTGTATCTTCGCCTTGGAAACTAGTCGTAGCTGAAAGTTTAGAAATATTTAAACATAATCCAGCAATGTTGCTTAATAGAGATCAAGGAAACGGATACTCGACACTCTTCAGCATGCTACCTAAAACAACACATCATAGCATGCCTCTGCCTGTTGGAGACTGATTTTAGGTACCTGGTTAGGTAAATTTTGACATGACAGTGGATACCTGCTCATTTTTAGTACCTATTGATTAGTATATAACTCGTAGATAAAAGATGGATTCTTCAGTGGTGTTGAGTACTTGGCACTGATGAAGTCTGCAAGTAGTAGACGAAATACGCGTATCTGTCAAAAGATAAGCAATTATAACGGAATTAAAAGCAAATAAACCAGCCCACTCAAAGCTCTTCATTAAGGGATTCCTTTAAGAGGTTCGACAAATTTAAAGGATTGGATATACGACAGTGGAGTATGGAAGAAACCCAGCAGGTCCCAAACGACCTGATGTCTGATCAATGTAAGGCGAATTTAAGGTACATGTCGACCCAATGTCGGGTTGATGTCGAGTCAATTTTGTGTGTATGTCGGGTCAATGTCAGGTCAGCATCGGGTTGGGGTTTGATAGAAGTCAGATTGGTGTCGGGTTGGCTTAGATTTTTCGCCAGAATGTCGACCAGAGCTCCGTTTGGATGTACATTACACTCAATTGAATGATATCAAGCGTTTCTGAAATGAGAATGATCCATGCCTTCTTCAAATGACTAAGCAAACCGATTCGAAGGAGGTCATTTTGATAGCGAATAGCAGCTTTTCCCATTTTCATCAAAAATGTTCAATTGATTTTGATAAATTACAGCACAACCCATTATTTGTAAGGTGCACTTCCAAAAAAACTACAATACAAAAGGCTAAAACTTTATCACACAAACGTTGATGTGAAATTAAACAATTTTTAACCATTTTCGGTAAGGTCAAATTATGGTTCGCGTTTATGCGGGCAGACCCCGAAGAAATCGACAGTGAGCATTCATAAGGGCGTATAACCGATGATCGATTCTCTTCATCGATTTTCTCTTTTGTTATTAACTCGCTAGATTTAACGTTTATCGGTACGTTTGCTGTTGCTTTTGATAGCCAGTACAACCTCTTACAACTCTGCATTGAACAAATTCTATAAAATTGTTTCGCTTAGCTGGAGCAATGCAAAGAGAAAAACGATGAAGAGAATCGATCATCGCGTATACGCCCTTATGCATGCTCACTGTCGAAATCTTCGATTGGGCGACACTGAGGCAGATTTGTCGGGTTGTGGGTTTTTGGGTACAAATGGGATCGAATGGGTATTCAGGAACGATTGTGTTTTTTGGCATAATGCGATGACGCTTTATCCGGCCAAAACACGTATTGTCCATCAGCATGATGTTTTTGTAGAGACGGGATCAAAATTTTCTTCAAACATTCGTTCTGGTACACATATTGATTGATTGCCAAACCAGAGGGCTTGAACCATGGCACGAGAAAGAGAACGAAGTCCTTTTGCGTCCATAATTTTGGCTGGTCTTCCACTACCTTGCTTGCGAGCAGTTGTTGGGGATCTTAGGATATGGTAAACAGTCGAAGCCGCAACATTTTCGCTTTTAAAATGTTGTACCGTATACTTTTTGCCGAGATTTCTGTGCAGTTCGTAGAACTGTACAACGCACTCGCGAAATACTTCTTGTTTGGACGGCATTTTGAGCAAAACTGAGCAAGCATAAACAAAACAGAAAATACTAGCAGAAAGAGGAGAGAGAGAGCCAACACATACACACTCTTATTTCTCTCTGAGCTCGTTTGTTGTTGAGCATAGAGGCCTCGAAAAAATTCAAAAATTTTAGTTGCCACCCGTTACATGGTCCTTAGATTTGACTTACAATTCAACAACTGGACATGCATATTTTAAATATCATAACATCGTTATACATTTGAGCAGTTTAGAAAGATTGAGTGAGTGAGTAATACATTTGCACACTGTGCGGCATCAGGAACATTTTGAAGCACCGGTTTACTTCTTCTCAGCCAACAGCTCATCGGCGGCAGCCGAAACTTCTTTCCACGAGTAGTCGATATCCGAGATTTCGGTAAACCGTGAATTTTGCCTCGACCGTTGATTCTTGAGCAGGGCCTCGTTTAGTTCGTTGGTTCCCTTTAGTTTGAAGCAAACCAAACCCATCTGAACGGTGGAGAAGATTTCGAAACGGCTATCAGCGACACAGAGAGCTTCAAATTGCTTAGCGAATGCACAATGGCGACGAATGTGAGCCTGGATGTTCTCAACGCCATACAGTCGGAGAACAAACCACAGCTTCAGAGCACGGAAACGTCTGCCCAACGGGATTTGCCAGTGACGGTAATCCGGAGCCGATCCTTGCACATCGTGTTTCAGATAAAGTGGATCTACGTTGAAGGCATTTACAATCCAGTACGGTTTCTTCAGCCACAGGGCACTGCAGTCAAAGTTCACCAGCATCCACTTATGTGGGTTGAAGTTGAAGGAATCGGCCGTTTCAATTCCCTTCATCAGAGAACGATACTCCGGGCATACAAAGGTTAATCCAGCATAGGCAGCATCCACGTAGTTGTTGCCAACCGGGCCAAGTTCATCCAAGCGATCGAAAGCACAGGTGTTTGTCGTACCGAGGGTGCAAACGGCATAGAAAGGAATCAATCCTTCGGCCAAACCCTGCTTGATGGCTTCCTCAAGAGTTTCACCGCGGAGTTGCAAGTTGCTGTCCGCCTTCAGCGAGCGCAGTTTCACACCTCCTAGGAGACCTGCTCGTTCCACCGACGAGTGCGATTGGATTGAGGTGTATCTCACCAGTCGGGAAACGATGTATGTCTCATCCCACTCAGGAAGTTCCTCCTGAGCTCGCTTAATCGCTTTAGCCTTGGCACCGAGCAAAGCGACAAGGGTAGCCTCACTGGCAGTTCCCTGAATGACGCCACCTGCTTGAGCTCCAGAGCTAGCTAGGAACTCTTCTGAAATTCCCAACATTTTACCTAACCAGTTGAGCATTTCGACCTCCAATTCAGTACACGCCGGGCTGGCAATCCATGTGAATCCAATGCAAGCGATCGCACCGCTGAGCATATCGGCTACGATGGCCGTCGGGAAGTACGCGTGGAATTTAGGACTGTGCCAGTGGGTGACACCGGGCATGATGACCCGCTCGATGTCAGCCATCACTTCTTGCCAGCTTTCTGGCTTTTCGGGAGCCTCGGATGGAATCAATGGCCGCAGGTAACCCGGTTGAACTTCCGGAAGGACGCGCCGATCTCGGATATTCTCCAGGTAGTCGGCGATGTAGTCCACAATTTCCTTGGTAAACTCTTTGAACTGTGGGGCCTGCATTTCGGTGACAGGTGGAACCTCAAACTTGTTAGTGCCCATTCCGAATTTGGTTAGGAAGGCGGGGGAATTGAGGGACTGGCATTTTGATGAAAATTGACTGAACACTTCTAGTATAGAAATATTTTTTAACACAAACGGACAAACGAAGGCGCGATGTGATCGACACAATGCTAACGATATACAATCGCACTCATCATGTTGGTTTGCCTTTGAGGACTTCGGTTCGCGAGAAAATGGCCGTACAAGGGTAGTTTACCAAATGGAGTTAAGGCCATTTCAATTGTTGGTGTTGATATCATGGGTTTCTGGATGGGTGGTACTGTCAACCCACCGCTATTTCTTTGCTGTCTTTCTACTTATTGAGCTGATTTTATGAAGATAACTTGTTTATAGATGACACTAATCACATACAAAAAAAGACTCGGTTGAAGGACAACCGAGAAATAGCGGTTCGTGAACGGTACCACCCATTGCATATATAGAGGGAATGCTGTAATAGCAAAATTATTCATGAGCCTATGACCTTTTGAATCGTGAACAGTTTAGATTCTAGGAAACTTATGGCCTATTAGATGGTGAACTGCTTAGCTTAGAATCCTACATACTATCCGGCCAATAAGCTAGACCTGTTGCTGTCGGATAGTTAAGTTTCGAATAGTAAATCTGTTGGGCAACATCTTATAATAAACAAAAATCGCGATGTCGGATAGACCTGCTGGATGATTGAGGACATTGATTGACGGATGCCTCATATTGTTAAGAATGTTCAAAACCATACATATTCTGGATATTGTGTCTATAGACTTTACTAAGAGTTAAACTTAATTGACTAAATATTATCTTAGTAGATTTTTAGATATATTTTGGGGCCTAACTGTTGTTCGTGACTAAGAAATTCAGCATAGGGGAAATGGATGTAATGTCGGCCTAGATGCCTCTAATTTGGGCCCATACATAAATTGAGCAATATACTAAAATTTCAATAGCAACCAAAAATATCCTTTAGTACCGTCCCAATGACGCGTTCATCTAGATAAAATTGATAAATAGCAGATTTTTAGCGATGGGCCCAATCTTAGATCCATGGGCTAACATTAGAGCCATTTCCTCTATGTATTTATTTTTATTTTCGGAAATTATCTCAGTTTGTTTAATCCTTGCCAAATCTGGAAGGAATGCCAGATTATAGCCTAAAGACCTTTTTTATTTCTTCTAATAGGAAACATGATTGCACTATGAAATTATTTGAATATTGGCCAGCAAAACCAATGAATATCGAATTTCAAACTGAAAACTCTGTTGCCGCCACTCTGTTGAAAGCGATGTCAATAAAGTAGTCGAAGACGTGGCCTATCAATAAATTTCAAACAAAACGCATCGTACCTAACTATAGAGTAGAATGTACCATCCAACGGCGAGATACTGCTTCATTGGCCTATTCAAAATACCAGACCAATCCAAGCCCAAAAGTAGCTTGATCACCTAGTCACGAGCTGGGCTCCGAAATGCAACGGATTCAATGATTCATTAGAAGTTCGTGTTCTATCAGCTTGTAGCCTCGGGTCTTTTTCTCTGAACTCCCAGATTTGAGTTCATCCAAATACAGAGGGAGAGATGCATGCCTATACCGTACACAGAACCGTACAAGCGACAAGTTGTTGGGGATAAATTGCACTTTCGAAGGGGATGATGTGATGTGCAGCCATTCCGACGTCTGCCCAATCCGGGGGAGAATGCAAGTGCCCCTCGTTTGAAGCTAGATAAAATATATAAATAACGCCTAAATCCACCGTTGAATTATTACACTCCGGGGGGGGATGACTTATGCGAACGAACCCAGTGGGATTTTAGCTCTTGAAAACATTGCACAAATTGATACATATCCTGGCGCAGAGTGTGGCTCATCCGACAAATCCCTATCTGCACCAACATCGGTAAAACTTTACTCCGGGCTTGACCCACTTCCATGCCCTGGAGTTACGACGCTGCTGCAACACACAGAAGACCCCACACCGATATAATTTATCGTTTGCTTTAAATAATTACTTTACACCCGCAACAGCCTCCTTTGATCTCGACAGAGAGCACATACATAAATGACAATACTGCTGCTGTTTGCTGCTTTGTTACTCTGTTATCGTTCGATTTCACAAACCAAATAATCCCCCCCGGTTCACAGCATACATACCTCACCTACCTACCTACCAACCTAGTAAAAACAGAAGCTGCATTAAATAAATTTTCCTCACCATTTCCATTCGTTGCCTGGCACCCATTCTCCTGAAGTCCTGAAGAAGCTTAGACACAAAAATAACCGATCGACTTTTGGCTTTGAACATGCGACCGAAGAAGCCTCGAAGGAACCCGCTGGTAATGGTAATAGTGGGGGTAGTGAAAACCTGTTTGTTCTTAAGAAGGAAGCTGTGCTTCGTCTTCTGTCGGGCGGTGGGAGTTTGGTACATATCTATGATGCTGTATGGTGGGTTTGCTCAAGGCAAAAACACGTTCCCGACATGTATCTTGGTTTTCCGCCGTCTGCGGGAATATTTTTTTTCCATTGGTTTTTCCCTGTACAGATATGAAAGCTGAAGATGAGCGCGATCCGTTGTACAAAACCAATAAGATACAGTAGGTTAGGTGCTGGACCGTGTGGTGAGGTGAATCTGTGCGGTAATGACTCACTCACTCACTGAAGGCCAACGTGGGATATTTCCATCCTGGGCGGCTTTCACCTAGACCTGCGGTCTGGTCCAATTTCGTTGTTTGGGGCTGGGTTTGACTCTGTTGCGATGTTTCCACCCCTTAGTACAGTGTGAGTGTTTGCCGATTCGCGGGAACATTATTTTTGTTTTCGGGGATTCTTGTAAAATTTTGAAACCATCATCACTTTCATAGTTCTTCTTTTCTCCACGAGTGCCAACTTTGATTTGCCAATCGTTGTTATTAAAATTCCCTTAAAATATTCCTCAGAAATCTGTTGGTATGCCCTTTAGAATTTTATGCTACCAGCTACCACCCCTCTTGTCTTGGGCGTATCCAGCGAGGCATCTTTCATATTGCTCGCAATCTCCGACACCGGCGAGAGACCAGCAGCCGAGCACTTTTGCAAGCGGAAAACATGCGGATTCACGGCAACGTCGGCCACCGAATCACCACCAAAACTCGCGACGGACACATTATCAACACGTTTTCAGGCTGATTCACCAACCGGACCGATCTCTCAATAGAACTACACGCCGAAAGTGTAGCATCTGAACTCGGAGAACCGGGTTCCCGGGAGGCAATGAAAGCTGCGTCGTATATTTTCGAGGTTAGATTCAAGGTCAACTGCAAAACACCAAATTTCAGCACACAAATTAACTAATTTAAAGCAAAAATGTTTGATTCGCTGACGAATAATACGCAGCAAAAGAAAAACACGTCAGCTTTCAAGTGCGGCCTACTGCGATCTGGAAAATAACCTAAGAATTCCTTTAAAATTCTTCTCAAAATGACGTTGGGGGAATCTCTTGGAAATTTCATGGAATTTCCTTCGGAATCCTCTTTAGACTCTCTATTTTTTTGCCTTTGTTTGTTTTCCGTCGATCTTGATTTACGTGCTGAGCACCAATGCATTGCAATGCTACCGACGCCAGGGAGGCAGCTCCCACACCTAGACCCTACATATCGACCCATCAACTCATGAACCGGGACCAACGGCTTTACAGATGTCATGCCTCAGAACATCCCGGCGGTGCCGACTGGGATTGAACCCAGGCCTGCTGGGATGAGAGACAATCACGCTTACCACTACACCACCGGCGCCGCTAACTGCTTCCAGCTGACACGATGGTAGTTGCGTCGGGAAGCTTGGTGTTTGGCGTTCAGGTCGCCAGCGATGATGTACTTTTGGCACCGTCAAGTTAGTTTGATGATGTCCCTCCGCAGGTCTGCTGCCGACCCGTCCCTGATGGTGACTTGCTTGGGGCAGTAGGTCGCAATTATGGTGATAGGGCCGACAAGAGTGGAGACTTCTACCCCTAAAGCTTCGGTGGTTTTCAGCTGGAAGCTCGGCAGAAGCCGACAGCAGATGTTTCTTGTTGTCTTAGAAGCCGGAAGTCATGAAGATAGAAGTTTACCTCCGGTTTCAGGTGGGTTTCGGTGATAACGGCAATGTCGATGTTTTGTTTGTTGAGGAAGTCAACGAACTCGATGTTCTTGCTCTTGAGCGAGCAAGCGTTCCAGTTGGCGATCTTGATGGTTTTACGGTTCACGATGAAACGTGATGCAGCAAGAATCTGCTCGGTTCTGGTTCTGCAGGAGCGCTTGATGATGATTGCTTCTGCCATGATGGTAATGAGTTCCTCTGTTGTGCGTAGCTCTTCGTTTTTATGCGATGGTGGGGCATCATCCCGACGCCACGATAGTCCCGGGGGAGGGGACGAAACCGTTGCCGCATAGGACTGACGGCTCGGATTAGCCGGATGGTTTGGCATCTCAGCAGTTGGCGGGACCGATGCAGCAGCAGCAGTAGCCAAACGGTTGTTGAGCGGTAGTGGCGCAAGAATCGGAATCGGACGCCGTTGGCTAATGGCGGGGAAATTCTGCTCATTGCGTGCCGGTACCTTTTTTCGACCCGGCTGGTTCTGCGTGGAGGCCCTTTGCGGATTTCCATGATTTCCGCCCGCTTCGGACAAGACTTGCTGGTAGCTCGATGTGCTGCACCACAGTTGGCGCATTGTGGATCGGCGTTCTCCATCCTCTCGCATTCTTCGGGTGCGTGTTGCTTGCCACATTCGTTGCAGCGATGAGCCACGTGGCAATTTTTGGTCCCATGCCCAAACATTAGGCAGTTTGAGCATTGTGTGACGTTACGGGGGCGAGGTTGGTAGCGTTCCCACTTAACCACTATGTGTAAAAGCGCCCGAATAAACTGCACGTCCTTCAAACACGTTGTGTTTCGCTCGAGATGGATCAAATACAGCTGGTCACGATACTTACGGGAGGCGTCGTGCTGATTCATTTTGAAGACTTGCGTCTGCTTTACCAACAATCAATAC